TCTCCAGATATTAAATCCATCTTCGGGCTGAATAAGATATGAACTTACCCCGGGCCATTGCTGTCCTCCCGACGGGTGACACCTCCATCATTAGCCCCCTCGGTGCCACCTCTGCTGCCCTGGCTCTCCTTGGCCTGATGCTCCACCACCTCCCCCTCATCCAGGGCATGGTGGAGGCGGTAATTCACCGTCTTCAGCAGCAGGAACATGGCAGCGATCACACCACAGTAGATTCCCACTATCACCATGGTTGGCGGCAGGGCCTGGAATCAGAGGAAGACGTAGAAATTAACTAAAGCAGGCTATCTGACTGATTTTATTTTTCACCCTTAATTTATCTCAGCAGCTCTATTGATTTGTACGTCCAGGTTTGTGCTTTGATTACCCAAACTTCCTGACATGATAAGCTACAGCTAAACAATTATTGATTTTAAATTGCGATTCGAAACAATGCAAGTCGTAAATCTCAAAATCTGCAATTTAGCACGTACACTTGGCAGCATGTCTGACCCAGGTTTGAAACTGTTATGTCAATGCTCCTCACAGCTCCAGTAAAAAGCAAGTGGACTTGTCTTTTTTTTGGATACTGAAGACATTTCACCTCTCCTCCACAAGGCTTCTTTAGTTTTAACTCGCTGGTGGAAAGTCTCGGCTATATATCATCACATGGCGAGTGATATTACTGCCTTCCTTTCCTGGCTTGTTAGGTCAGAAGGAGGTGTTTTAGCACTACAGAGTGCCGGAAACCTTTACCCAGAGTTCCTATTCTGCTACTTCTTCTGGATTACTGTTTTATGGTTGATTTGGTGGCTGTGACGAAGTCCAGTCGAAGCTTTCAGGATTACCACAACCGGGCTGACTGAGAATCTACACAGACCTGTTGTGACGGAGGTTTTACAAATTCATGCTGGCCTTCTTGGGCGTCAAGCATGCTTATGATTGCACCTCATGTGGTCGTGAACCGGAGCTTGACTTGTGTCATCAGGTAGAAAAATAGGTAGACGCACAGCTGAGACATCATTTTCTAAAAGGGAAATAAACTTGTGCATTACTTCCACCCGTAGAGAAAATTACATACGCCACACATCGGTAGCGTTTATTAAAAAAAAAACAAAGAAACTACTGCATTCAATTATCATTTTAATGTCGTTTAATGGGGCAGCTGGCAGGGAGGCCGTTACCAGGAATCTGTATGTGCCGTTTACCACAAGGTGTCTGAGCTTCTTCTGCGTCTCTGTTGTCCTTGAGATATCCTCCTGCATCTGTTTGCAGTTATCAAACAACAAAAAAACAAAAAAACAGCAGCAGCTCTACTCTAACTTGTGGCTCAATATAAACCACAGAGCTGACCAACACATTTCCACTCCAGAAATAGAACGGAAACCACCAACCGATCAGCTTCTCTCTATATCTCTCTCTCTCTCTCCCTCTATATATATATATATATATATATGTTCATACAGGCTGGGTACAGTGATATAGCAGATCTGTACATTCAACTTGCAGTGAATCTAAAAGCCTGATTGAATGATGTGACAAGCAGCCTTTAAACAACAAGCAGGTACAACTGGCACTGCTGTGGTGTCAGGTCCCTTTTGAACACTTTGAAGGTGCCACTTTTGGGATGTAAACACAAAAAGAAACGCCTTCACAACACAAACACGAGCTCCCCTTTGAGCAAACAGCAGCCGCTCATTGGGGTCCGTTTTAAAAACTCGCTGCTTCCATCCCTGTCAGCTGTGCTCCCGCAGTCACAGCTGGTAGCTTCAGAAAAACCGGTGATACCGCAAATCACTACCGACAGCAGGAAAACAAGTAGATAAGAGGAGGAGGAGGGGGGGAAGGGAGAATAAATTCACTGATTACAGCCCTGCCACGGAGCCATCGACTGTTAATATCCCAACAAGGCGACAAGAATTTAAACAAAAGAGCATTCTGGTGCCATGTAGTTGGTGGAGCGCTCACTTGAAAGTGGAGGAAATTAGCGGTTTTTCACGTCCCGTTTTTCTTGGAGTCGCTTTTCTCAGCGACTACATTCGTCAATTTCACGGTTTATTAGAATAAATCGAGCTGCTGGATAATATTTCGTGGCGTTTTCGTTAGTTTAAAGGGTGCTTACGTTGTCTGCGCTCCAGATAATAGACCGAGACCGACCGTTAGTATCCTGTGGCAGCTAACCTAACGGACACTTGGTTAACTTGTCAACAGTCGGGAGAGATTCATTGATATAAAATTTAAAAAAATGTAAAAAGAGGTTAAAATGGGGGGTTTGAAATAAGAAAACACAGCTCACCATGTACAGCGTGAAGGGGAAACATAGCAGGAACAGCCAAAGGTAGAGATGTAAAGCGTTGACGAATGTGTTTTGATCGGGGTCGTAGTACCATCCGCCTGTGACTGAAGCCCAGACCCCCTGCCTCAGGATCTGCAGCGTCTGAGACCCCATGTCGGCTTATTCCCCCCTTCCGAGCGACACCGGGCGGAACCGAGCGACGGGAGAACCGGGGTGACACGCTGGCTAGTCGTCGCCGAACATGACAAACGGCGCTCTGTTTTCAGACGGTGGCCTGAAAATCCCCTCTGCAGCCATCTTCTCTGCAGCTAGCCAGCCAGCTGGGGCACTGTTCAGTCCTCCAGCCAGGAGACTCCTATCCCACCACGCCCTGCGAGACGCTTCTTCTTCGTGGCATCCGTGAACGGTAGCCATGGAAGCGGCCACAGCAAACATCAGCCCCACAGTGATCCCCGGAGATCTGCGCCCTTCACCCTCTTTTATTGTATGAAAGCATATTTGGTTTTTTCGTTTTTTTCTGAGTGACTATTTGTTGGAGTCGAACAGGAGCAGTGATGGAAGAGAGCAGAAATGTGTTAATATGAGATTTAATATCAGGCAATTAGCAGCTCAGAGCAAAGATGGCCGAATGGTGACACCTGCCGGTCAAACGCTGCCATCTGCATACATTGGCAATAAATCATATATTATCCTCTGTACTCTACTATATCTATCTATTATCATTTATTATTATATTATTATCAATAATCCTGATTATGATTATTATCATCATCATCATCAATATTACTATTACTACAAATTATAATGATAGTGTTTTTGAGTGTTTTTTTTTCTTGATTTTATCTTCTGTTTGTTAGTTGGTCCAAGTCTTTGGTATTTTAGATTTTTTTTTTTCACAGAAGGAGAAGAGTTTTGTTTTTGTCTTTTT